ATAACGGTAATCAGCTAACATTCAGTTAACTGAAACACATAAGTTGTTATTTTACTGAACAAGTCTATATTCTTGGTTGTCTGCCATTGAAACACCTTCATTGTGTTGTTCTAACAAGTTAACTGGTGGCAAAGAATCATCATCAACAACAACTGTCAATGACGCTGCCATCAGGTCTCCGTTCCCAGCATTGGAAACTCTAGATCGTTTCCCAACTTTATACTCCAACTCGCTGACACCGCATCGTTCCACAAGACCTCTAGCGTTCTCATCCAAATCTTCCCATTTCGTCTTCATGAATATCAATCCTCCTTTGTTACCCTTTCTGAACAGTTTACCAACTCCAAGATTGGCCATCTTGCGCATGAAGAACTTGGCTGCTGGTGCCGCATACCTTAACAAAGAAAACGTAATATTCCAGACTATATCAGAAAAACTCCATGCACCGTTACATTTTTGCTCTAATAATATAGCCCATGTGCTCACGTGTCTACAGTGCATCTAAGGTGAAACTACTAGTATTTTGATGGTTCAGTACACATTTAGGGAAAATTATTGAGAAACTCTCTCTGTTATTGAATTTGTACCCTCAGAAAGTACCAATTATATCATACATAATAGTCCCAAAACCCCAATTCTAATGCGATCATCTGAAAGTGCAATTTTAATGTAATATGTAAAAATATACAGGTGACAATTGCCAGAATAATAAATTGTCAAAGAAATATAGTTTTCAACTTATTTTTAAAATTTTCTTAGCTTACCTATTCTTACCAGGACCTGGTGTATGGAATGGAGGCATCAGATGAACTTGCATCACTTTACTGGAGTGTACGAATTCACCGTCAAACGCTAAAAAACTTCGGATGTTGTTCTCACAGTTTTCTGGAAATTTGGGGTACTGGCTTTCGTAGTATTCTTCAAGCTCATCTGGATCAAGCGATGCATAATTGGAGCGGCTTCGACAATATGACAAGGACACGTCATTTTCATCTGTGACATCTTGTTTCAGTGTGGGGACACGAGGTTGTGGGGTGTTGTCTGTTACCTGCTGTAGATTAATGTTGAGCTTCATTTCTTCTGGCATTAACGCTAACTTCTGTAGTAGGAAACACTCTGAAAGGTACGCAGCGGCTGTCGCGACATCAGAACTTATTGTTGATGAATGCCAACTTTGATCATCTGTATCGCACAGTGACGTTAACTGCAGCACATGCTTCATGTTGTAAGCGGCACCCACGGCATTGTTTACACACTGTAGCACCATACAGAGCCGAACAAACTGGCTTCGTGCCTTACAGAGAATCAGCCGCCTATTCTCATCAAAGTTCACTTCTCGTTTGCGAATCGTTAGCGAATTAAGGTAGGATCTTGCAATAGTCATACTGTCCTCATTGAACTCGTACATGATGTGTTCCTTGGAATGCACCTTGTGAATCAGCCAGAAAACCTCATGAAATGATAAATCAGGCGTGGCATGATTCAAGTCCTCAAGTAGAATATCTCTTTCCGGTGGGCAGGAGATGAGAAGACTAGCAGATAAGTCATCAATACTGTTGACACTAAGCTGCTTCACTAAAACCTGCGGCTCCATGAATCCCATCAAGTTCAGAGATGTTTTGCTTTCAGGGGTTTCCTGATTCTCCATGGCAACCACACAGCTGTTATCTCCGTGAAACAAACTGGTAAACATCTTCTTCTCTTGGGGATTCTTAGCAGCGAGGAAATCATAAAGGAAACCAAGCTCCTCCGAGACTGCTAACAGTTGGTTATGATTTGTAGACAAATGATGATATACATGCGACAGTGAATTTATAGGCGAGTAAAGTTTCCTGGTATCAAAACGATGAAAGTCCAAAAGCTTCTGTTGCGGATGTGGCTGGATTTTATGTTCAGTGATTTTTAATTCCTCAAGAAACTTCCTATAAATTAATGAGCTCTCTTCACCCTTTCTCGCAGCGACTGCCATCCATAGGACGCATGGCTCTTTCCACACCTGCGTCACTTTGCATTCAGCGTTATTTCCCATCAATGAAGCGACAATTGACAACAACGGGATTAGAAAGTACTCATCTGGACAACCAAACATATTGGAATAGATCTGTATAAAGTTCATTAACTTTGGTATTCTAAGCTGGGCCCAATCTAATTGAATGTTCCATGCCTGCGCAAGTTTTGTATAGTAAGAAATGCGTTTCGAAGTAGTTGCTTTCAAGGACGGCGATCTGTGAAACAAAATTCATAACAAAAGGCGTTAGGGATTTTCCTCTGTTCTTGTTAAAACTGAGAAGCAAGATACATTGTATAATCAAATAAAACCTTAATCTATTTGGACCATTTGTATTGAGCCTGTAAGTCTAGTGCAAGTCAAGTTAGTATTATCACAGATATACATTTTTGCATAATTTGTTGAACTGATAATTGAAATTTACTAAAGGAATAAAACCATGTCAGATTGACACTTAAATGTGACAGTTTCAATCAGAAAATGTAGCTGAAATAAAATCAACCAGAATATACTCACTCAGTTTCAGTTCTCATTCTTTTAGTTCCTACATCATTTGTGAAAGAGTAATTGGCTGGCATGGCAACAGACTGGTGGGATGCTGATCTTGAGGATATACCAGACCTAGAACAAGATATGTTGACTAAATTATGAAAATGAATCATGATACATAGTTGTAAAACATGTTGAAAAAGTGACATGCAATTTTAGCGAATTATGGTAAACTGACGTACAAATGTAATAGCAAAATGTTGATTCAGCGAATCTCTCTTGTCATTGTTGATTTCCTGTTTTCACTATATTTTTCTGTCGTGTTCCAAAACAAATGGGCAGTTATCACTTCCATAAAAACAAAGAAAAACTGTCAAGTGTAATTAGGAAGCACCCCAGATTTTTATGTATTACGGATAACTGTATACAAATCCCCAAGCCTTGGCCATTTTGAATTTATAATAAAGTCATTAGCGACATCTTGAATTAGCGAATCAGTTCTCTCGCTAAATTCGCTAAAAAGACGTGCTCGCGAAAAAGACATGTTTTACAGTAATTGTAACTTTGGTTTGACATGAGCCAGTGACTTAAAAACATCATGAACCAAATTCATCAAATACCGTGGAAACATACCTACTCTAAAATTTTTGAACAATCACAGCATGTGCTGTTTTTAGTTCTTCAAAATTTCATCAACCTAATATTTTTTTTTTGGACCAATAGTTCAACTTTAATTTAGCCTTTAATTAATAGAAACAAATACTGTTGAATTTGTGGTGAGTGGCGTCTAGTGTTCGAAATTAACGTCGGTCCGTCGGCCTCACGCCGACAGTGGGTTTAAAGGGCCTAGAGCTGTCAAAAACCATCAGTCCTTGTGACCGACCATAAATTTAAAAAAAACGTTGCATTATTTAGTATGATTGTAAGACCAAATATATAATAAATATCGATAGTAACTCCAGAATTGTTTCAAAATTGCGTTTTCTTGCACGTTTGAACAACAAATGGCATCACTCATCGACCTGGGCATACGAGTCATAATTCAAGCTCGCCGAATGATCGCGAAATGCGGCGAACGTGGGAACTGTAACAAACGTTCTGATTGGTTGTAGGCCGATCAAGCCTCCGATTCAAACCAATAGAATTCGCGCTTACATTTTATGTTCAGAATCGAACACGCTGGTATCAACAGTTGCAGAGTTACGTCTACATCGAAGTATGTGGCGATATTTAAACTGCCAGGAGCCTGCTGCTAAACGCGTGGAAACTACACAAGAAAGGTGTGACAAACAGCAAGAATACGAACATTCCAAGTTAGCTGGCAGGCGGAGTTCAAAGACTGGTTACTTTTTGATAACAACAACAAGGTGATGTATTGCCGGCCTTGTCGAGGATCCTACGGTCAGCTACATGTCAGATTCAGAGTCGGCCAGTGATCGTGTTTTTTCTGAAGATTTTGATGAGTTTAGTGACGATGAAAGAAATGATGATGACCTCTTTGAGCCTGCAGATAATATATCTGATTAATTAGTAAATAAAGGTTTTGCAATTGCAAGCTTGTATTATCTGTTTAGTCTTTGTTTGTTAAATATCAGGGCCTACAGTTAGCTAGAAGAACCTACAGTTTTAATTTGACATAGGTCATTCGGGCCTTTTATGATTTTCAGTTAATTTCGAACACTGGTGGCGTCACAGAGACACTGGAAGAATAAAAATATTCACTACCATATACATACACACTAATAATAATTTACTTTTCTAAGATTCTAAATGTCACTTATTATTTAGTCATGAATTAATACAAAAAATATTTGTTTTTGTTTGCTATGAAATATATGTAAAGTTCAAGTTTATTTTATCATCAGGGGTTTTTCTAAACTGGGGAACAGGGTCCTGATACTCTTGAATGGCGCCCTCTTACTAAATTGACGATTGAAATTTCAAGTCATAAATATATTTCTTGAGCCACGAAATGCAAACAGACAGATCTATGGAGGTCAACCCATAAGTCCTAGTTAACAGAAATGCACAAACAGACAGATCCATGGAGGTCAACCCATAAGTCCCAGTTTATCAGAAATGCACAGACAGATTCACACAAGTCAACCTATAAGTCCCAGTTTATCAGAAATGCACAGACAGATTCACACAAGTCAACCCATAAGTCCCAGTTAACATAGATGCACAAACAGACAGATGGACCCACGAAAGTCAACCCATAAGTTCCAGTTATCAGAGATGCACAAACAGACAGATCCACAGAAGTCAACCCATAAGTCCCAGTTATCAGAGATGCACAAACAAACAGACAGATGGACCCACGAAAGTCAACCCATAAGTCCCAGTTATCAGAGATGCACAAACAAACAGACAGATGGACCCACGAAAGTCAACCAATAAGTCTCAGTTATCAGAGATGCACAAACAGACAGACAGATGGACCCTCGGAAGTCAACCCATAAGTCCTAGTTAGTGAGTTAGTTAGTTAGTTATCAGAGATGCACAAACAAACAGACAGATGGACCCTCGGAAGTCAACCCATAAGTCCCAGTTATCAGAGATGCACAAACAAACAGACAGATGGACCCTCGGAAGTCAACCTATAAGTCCGAGTTAGTGAGTTTAGTTAGTTATCAGAGATGCACAAACAGATTCACAGGAGTCAACCCATAAGTCCCAGTTATCAGAGATGCACACAAATCCCATTCATTTGACAGGAAACTAACTAAAGTGATTTATATTATTTTCTTGATAATAACACTCACCCTGTATCATACTCCTTTGTGGACCCACTAGTTCCCTCTTGCATACTAAAGACATCTTGCTGTGAACAAAAAACGAATAAAACAGGTCAATGAATAGAGCAATGAATTTAAAAAAAAAAAGCAAAAAAAAAAAAAAAAATACATGCACAAACTTGCTATAAACTCACTCATTATAATTTGTCTTTAGCATTTAGTGAACCTGTCAATTATTTCATTTATTTGTGCAGTGTAAAACCATCAATCAACTTAATATTCAAGGCCAACTCAAGCTACAGCTTGCAAACTTGAACTTGTTTTGAAATCCTATTTAATAATCATTGTTACTTACATTTACATTTTACAAATACGCATGATGAGTACAATCAGAGAAAGAACATGAATACAATTATCCTGAACAAAACTAAAAATTGCACAGAATTACCTCAACAATGTGTGATTACACTCGCTGTTTTCATTGTTTATATATGTTGTCACTTCAATAGTTTTGTACTTTATGTCTTTTTATGATACAAGTGATCAGTGTGCAACTATAAGCAATTGTTTCAGAAAAAGTCATAATTTTAACTGAGTTTGCATCACAAATACAGAATAACAAATTATTATTTTACTAATGCAAAATTTCAAGCAAAAGAACATATTGATAAAAAACTTTTCAAAATATTTTATCAGGTGTATCGTTCACTCGCAGAAAGTCACATTTTTGAACAGGACAAAAGAATTAGTGAATAGATATAGAGAATATATATAACATTAAAAAGTAAAATTAATGATTATAAATAAAATATTAGACATAATATTAAATGAATATGAACAATGCTGACACTGGTATTCGGAATACACACATGTATGAATGTGACGTGGCATTTCTCAGCTGATGTGTGGGGAAAATCTAAAACTGTCATCCATTGTTTGAAAAATTAGCATATTCAGATTGGCAGCATGATCAACCAATTGCACATGTAGAAAAACATTCTCCATTTAAAGACCCAGGTATACTATAAATATGCTTCTAAACAATGGGGATTACATGTGCATTTCCTAGAAAGTTATTCTCCGGTAAAGACGTGTTTTCTCAAACTTACAGGTCAATTATGGCGTGCCAAAGTGGGTGTATGTGTCTATGAATATCACGGCAGTGATTATATATATGAAAATAAATAGTGTGTGAGTTCAGATTTTGTCAGATAAATGTCAAAAACACAAACTGGAAAGAGACATGCTACTAAGCTTGAATAATTAACTGCTGTCAATCAATGTCACCTAGGTTGGAGTCCAATCTCCAAAAACATTTACACAGTTCCTAATGCTTTTCTCATTATCACATAGCGGATTCAACGAAGACAATGAAAATCGTGTTCGCAAATTTAAAAAGTTGCCACAGAGAGTACGAGCCAGAATTACCCCAAGTTGTTTTAATGATATGAATGCGTATTCTGGAAGTAGCGCAGCATATTATGGTAAATAGAACAGGAATGACACTCGGACCAGACGATCTTCAGAGTTTCCGATGACGCACTAATAATGTTACATGTGACTCAGTACGAATTAATTTACTGGCTTCTTCATGGCTTTTTTTTACAGTTGTTTAAGAAAATGGCAAATCCATGCAGTAACTGCGTGCCCATGCGCCAGCTCATAGCTGAATCGTGACAATTTTTGTTTTCTCTAAAATTAAATATTTTAACGTGATTACTGAATCTAGCCTTTACAGTCACGCTAACAGTATGAGAACAAATGACTAAAAATATTTATTTTAGATAATACAAGTTCCGACTTTCCTTGTCTAACCGGCCTCGTGCACATTAGGAAATGTATCAGAATCTATCAGTTTTATTTTGTGTTTCAAGTAACTGTGGTCGGTCATCAGGTCTTCGTACGCAGTGATGCATCGTCTCAAATTTATTATCTTTACTATTGCCACGTATCAGTAACAGCATTTATGCGAGTGAAAGTGTGAACGCCTTGCAGTGACTATTTTTTTATTGTTGACCATAGCGAGTTTGACGGCATCCTAAACATACGTGCATCCTGGTCATCGCCGTGGAATCATAGTTCAACAATATGAGAGTGGCAAATGAATATGATATGCCATTCTGCATTTCAGATGAACGCTATTGTTGAAATAAACGTAATTCAAAGAAATGATCAATGTCACATCACTTTGTAACACGTTTCATATTAGCTTATCATTGTCGATAGTCTATGCAGCTCAGGTCTGTGTTCTATGGAAGCAAGTCTAACTGGCCCAATATACCGGTATACTTTGTTGCTTATGGGTATTAGTGCTATCAACTTGTAAATAAACTACGAATTTCTATAAACATAAGCTATGTAACTGATTAACAGGACTCATTAGCATAGCCACAAATCCAATAAACACTAGCCCAGGGCAACTGAATTGGGCCTTTAAGCAGCATTTCTTGACCCTTGTGGAGAGAGGGTCTTACGAGATGAAAAGGTGAAAAGCACACAGACTACCACTTCTAGAACTTTACCTCTTTAAAATACCAATAAACGATCCTACACAAAAAGAATACAAGGTAGGGTATCTTGGAACATACATGTATGAATGCAAATACAAGTATATTTAAAGTACTAAAAAAACTTCTATCTTTTTCTATTGCAAGCTGAACTAGGCTGAAAAGATACAGCAAAGTAAGATGTAATGCATACCATCAATAAACTGGGAGGTACTCGTATACTTGGATCATTTCTTTCAGATAAACTGCAATTGAACTGATAACTTCTTCCCAAGTCAGTGTGTGTTGCATCTAAAATATGATTTTCTTGATCCATGCAAGTTACATTCAGGTTTCTGGAAGTCAAAGACTGTGATTGGTTGTTTCTGGGTTCCAGCAAATGGGTAATGACATTTTTAGCACTGTCCAAAGAAGACTGATGTGATTGGTTAACAAAGTTCTGTGATTGGTTACTTTTTGGGTTTACCAGATGTACACTTGAATTTTCGTAACAATCACTTGCCGACATGCTGGAAACAAAGTTCTGTGATTGGTAAATTTTTGGGTTTACCAGATGTACACTTGTGTTTTCATAACAATCAGTTGCAGACATGCTTGACACAAGGTGCTGTGGTTGGTCACTTCTTGGGTTTACCAGATGTACATTTGAATTTTCATAACAATCACTTGCCGACATGCTGGAAACAAAGTTCTGTGATTGGTCACTTTTTGGGTTTATCAGATGTACACTTGTGTTTTCATAACAATCAGTTGCAGATATGCTTGACACAAGGTGCTGTGGTTGGTCACTTCTTGGGTTTACCAGATCTACACTTGAATTTTCATAACAATCACTTGCCGACATGCTGGAAACAAAATTCTGTGATTGGTCACTTTTTGGGTTTATCAGATGTACACCTGTGTTTACATAATGATCAGTTGCAGACATACTGGACACAAGGTGCTGTGGTTGGTCACTTCTTGGGTTTACCAGATCTACACTTGAATTTTCATAACAATCACTTGCCGACATGCTGGAAACAAAATTCTGTGATTGGTCACTTTTTGGGTTTATCAGATGTACACCTGTGTTTACATAATGATCAGTTGCAGACATACTGGACACAAGGTGCTGTGATTGGTCACTTCCTGGGTTTATCAGATTGACACTTGCATTTTCATAACCATCTAGTGTAGGCATCTTGGAAACCAAGAGCTGCGATTGGTCCTGTCTTGAATCTACCAGATGTGTATTTACATTTTCATAACAATCTATTGTAGACACACTGGTAATCATATGCTGCGATTGGGCCTTTCTTGAGTTTTCATAACAATCATTTGTAGACACGCTAGAAACCAAGTGATGTGTTTGGTTCATTCTCGGATCTAGTAGATGTGCACCTGGGTTATTTCTTGGTATGTTCAGTGATTGGCACTTTTCAGAATTCATCAGATGAGCAATGGTATTTTTCAAACCACTAATGGGACACAGCAACTGGGATCTTGGTTGATTCCTTTTCTTTTGTATCAGGCTTAGGCATTCCGACCAGCGAGTTGTTTTGTTTTTCACCATCCAAGCAAAGACAACATCTTTAATACCGACAGTAATATTATCTAGATCTTGAACATGAGCATGGGATGTAATTACAAGGTCATGCCTCTGTTTTGTCAGTTCCGCAACAACACTAGTAACAAAGACATTCCCCTTCCCGCTCAGTATAGAACAATAACGCTGCTGTTTGAATAATGGCAGTAAATTGAAAGCCACTTCGCTTGGGGTCTTGGTTTTCAGCGGGTACAAAGTGCATACATTATTGAATAGATTCTGGCAACAGAGAATGTACTTGTAATCAGCATCAGGGGAAACTTCCATATCTACCAAATCAATTTGGTACGACTTCGGAGATGGTTGTATATTACTTAGAAGTTCATCCTTCGATTTAGTCAAATTTTTAGACTGCGTTTTTTCTCCAGCACATTTGTTACAGTGCATCAGACACAAGGCGATTGTTTCTCTGCTAATATTTGCAAACTTCTTCAGTAGCTCCTTACTGACCTTATCAATTCCTCCATGTCCTTCATCAATATGACTTGCCATGATAACTTGATACATGTCTTCAATTGGTAAATAGATTTTCTTTTTTGCATCTCCAGTGGACTGTCTCTTGACAAGCCTTTCAACCCCACCAAGTTGAATGACATCATACTTTCTTAATATATATCTATCATGCATTGTTTTTGATTCCCGTAGAGTGGCTGATTTCATGCTTTGTATCAACTTTGTATATTTCTCTCCAGTTATAAGGGGATTATAGGTTGATTTGTTGTTTTCGGCTTTCCATCGAAGCTCTCCCAAAAACTTGTGCTCCGCTTCCAAGGTCGCCATTGTTTACAATCTGGCACGTAATCAATAACACAGTTTGAAATAGATACAATATAAATATGATTCCAAGAATTTGTGTATGTCTCCAACCTCAGTCTGTGATGTACCAGTTGTGCTGATGATGTTCAACTGATTGACTTCAAGCCATATGCTCCACAACTTGAATGTATGAGCAAGTTCATCTCGTTGTCATGAATTACAACGCAATATTAGTAAT